CTTCCGATACACTTTTCAGCTAGAGTATCAAATTTCTTGTTGTATGGTGACTGAATTCTGGTTGTTTGGTTTCAAATTTCTTTGTTCTTTCTTTCTCTGCAACTGCTACACAGTTTACAGTAGAATCATTTTTTCATCCTGTTGCTCCCCTGTTGTTTCTCTACCCGGTAATATCAATGAAGTGGCAGAGTTAGTGCGGAGATGAAATTTGATAAACATTTTGGAGCTGTTTGTAGCTTTTATAAGGTGGTTCATCTGGGACCTTGACAAGCATTTTCAGATTATGACAGTGGCTTTTTAAGTTATAAGGCTTTCTGGATTCATTTTCTGTTTTACATGGTCTAAATTGTGTTTTTGTTTTCTGGAAGTCATGAGTGTAATATGTTTAGATTAAAAATTAACGAGTTGCTTATAGATTGTATTGAAGGGTGAGAAACATCCTGCTTACATGGTTTGAATCACGGGCATTTCCAGCATGTGAATAATTTGTGTGATTTGTTTATGTTCTGGTGCCTTACAGATCAAACTTAAGTACTGATCCCTCGTTGTTGAAGTTCAAATCTCTCATGTTAAAGTGTTGTCCACGTACGAAGAACAACATCAGCTCGGTTCTCATCGATTAAGAACTTAAGATACACTCTATACTGTATTTCATTTGTTTCCCATATTTATATCCTGTGTCGCCTGTTTCGCTACTGATGCAGGTTGAAGATGCAGAAACAATTGTTAAACTAACAGAAGAGATGGAATCCATTGATCCCGGGTTACTGGAAGAGGCTATGGGGATCATCAAAGAGTTGAATAAAGATTTGGATCGGTTTGAGTTGACACAGCTTCTTTCAGGACCCTATGACAAAGAGGGTGCTGTCATCTCTATTACAGCTGGAGCTGGAGGAACAGATGCTCAGGTAATAATCATTTTAGGCTATTCAATTTTTTTTTCACATTTTTCTGTATAAGGTTACCGTTCTTCGTTCAGATGGGGTAAATTTTGGTGGAGGGTTAAATACATATTGCAAATTGAATTCAGATATACCTTAGAAAATCCTTTTATGAGCCTGCAAATTCTGGGATGTCCTCATATCAGGAAAAATAAATACCTTAAAGGGTTTGCATGCTCAACTTATTTTTGGCTTTCTCGAATTCTGATGAAAGGGACTATGACCAAAAATGCCTATCATTTTGGAAAGAAGACCATGATGATGCGGTCCTTATGTTCAAATTCGTATAGCCTTTGCGTTGAAATATGAGGTTATATAAGAGAGCTTGGATGTTTTTTTTTTGTGATGGAAAATGAGCTTCTGTAAAATATTTTGATAACTTTCAGTGCAGGATTGGGCGGAAATGCTACTTAGAATGTATGTAAGATGGGGAGAGAAGCAGAGGTACAAGACGAGAGTTGTTGAGATGTCTGCCGGAGAGGAAGCCGGGATTAAGTCAGCGACCCTTGAAATCGAAGGGCGTTATGCATATGGTTACCTATCAGGTGAAAAAGGAACTCACAGAATTGTTCGGCAGTCTCCATTCAACGCGAAAGGCCTTCGCCAGGTAATTTTATGAATTTCCATTTCCATTTTGTTTTTACATATCCATTCATTATAAGCACATCTCATTGCATATATTAGCTGATATTATTAATGTTTACATGCAGACCAGCTTTTCTGGTGTTGAAGTCATGCCACTTCTTCCCGAGGGTTCGGTGGAAGTTGAAATACCAGAAGACGATCTAGAGATTAGTTTCACACGGGCAGGCGGAAAAGGAGGTCAGAACGTTAACAAGGTTGAAACTGCTGTCCGTATTACTCACATCCCTACCGGCGTCACAGTTCGCTGTACCGGTCAGTCTTTCATTACCCAAATGATCTTTTACCGATGCAACTTTCTAGCTTTACTATGGAGGGTAAAAGAAATTTTGGTGTTAAGAGGTTCACATGATCTATTAGAAGTTCTTGTCGCCATTTAGATTTAGGGTTTAGGTGTAGGTTTTATGCTGATGATAACGGTCCAGAGAGAAGAATATTGAACCCCATCTTTGAAATGCTTAATGGTTGTTCCGTGGATGATTACCAAGTTCTCTCTTTAAGCTATTGAGCAATCCTCCTAATCTTTCTTCAGAAACTGAATTTTGGGTCATGAAAATTTGTCGGCATTGCAGAGGAGAGAACACAACTGGCAAACAAGACAAGAGCTATGAGCAGACTGAAGGCAAAGCTGTTAGTGATAGCAGAGGAGCAGAGAGCATCGGAGATAAAACAGATAAGAGGGGATGTGGTGAAGGCGGAATGGGGACAGCAAATCAGGAACTATGTGTTCCATCCCTACAAGCTCGTCAAGGACGTACGGACAGGATACGAGACATCGGACATCACATCTGTAATGGATGGTGAGTTGGACCCTTTCATCAAAACTTACCTCAAGCATAAATACACCCTTTCCATGTCTTCCTCTTCTGCTGTGGCAAATTAGATTATTAGTATGTTACCTATGACATAAGACTGTATTTGTATTCTATAACTTCCTCTGTTCAATGCCAATGCCCTCAAGGTATACTGACTTTGCTCACTACATTGAAAGTTCAATTGAAGAAGGAAAAGGTAACTTAAACTAAAACTAAAACTAAAACAGAGGAACAGATATAACCAATGACCCAATGAATCTAACAATATATATTGTTTTGAAACATACATTCAGGTTTCATACAAAAGAACAAAGAATCTACACAGCAGTTACCTCTGGTTTGAAGAATTCACAACTCTTTTATAAACTATTTGGGCTTTTTATTAAGCAGATTTTACGATATGCAGACATTGACCTATAACTTCTCAGTCCACCAAATAGCTTCAAAAAACAGAATCTGAGGCCGAACCTTCCGTTTGCTGCAAAGCTTAAGAACACTCTCCCAGTCACCAATGTCCTGTAACAGCATCATACACTTGCTCAACTCCAAAACCAATGGACAAGATTCCGTGATTCACAAACATTAGGTCTTTTACGGTTTACCTCTTTTGCAGAACGAGCATATATAACCCATCTCTCATTTTCATAAGCTATACAATTATGTTCCTCCTTGCCCAGACTAACCTGCAAATTACGTTTGAGTTGATTGTAACAAGCTGGACTTCAGCGAAAAACTCACGTGAGAAAACAGAGGAAGAAATTGAAGAAGCATGTAATAAGAGAGTATTTTATTTTTGGCTATACCATTGATACGAGACGGTATTTGATCAATGGATTTACATCTTCGAATAGCACACTGATATCTATTTCTGTGTCCAAAACAGTTGCTGTGTTCGATATCTCTTCTTCAGATTCATTGTTCTTCCATTCAAGTACTAAACATCCCCAGAGAAAGCAAAACATCATGTTGTAAGTTATCGCAGCCAATCATGGACAAAGTAACTTCAAAATCTTACCAAGAACTTACCAATTGTGAAGACAAATGGGAATCTTGTTAGAAACTGATGAACATGATTTCGATGTCCACACCCTCCTCTTACAGGGTCACAAAGCATCATTCGATTCACCCGGATAACCTCAAGCGCATTCTCAAACGTAACATTACCAAATTCAGACTGTAATATGGAGAAAACATCCTGACATGACTTTCCAAAACACATATATATATTTTTGTCCGTTCTTCATATAACAAAGAAGGGAAAAAGCTTGCCTTGATTCCTCTGAGAACATCGGCACTTATAACAAGGCCATAGCAACATAACTCTGGATAATTCCGCTCCCGTTGGCATCTAGTGCAGTTCATTCTCTTAAATTCTTCAAGTCCAAAAAGAGACTCCACAAGGCTTTCTCCATATGGACTTTCCCAGGAATGCAGAAACTCAAAAATTGCTCCTAACAGCTCAGCAACACTATTTTCCTGAGAAAAATGAAAAGAATAAGCTCCAGATATCATCAAGCTTACCAAAGAATGATGAAGTAAGATTAGCAGTTAAGAGCCAGAGACCGACCATAGGATGAGTGACCTTTAGGAAAATGCGCAAGTCACCTAGAAGAAAATGATATAACATCTCATTGGTGACATCGTCTATCGGTTTTTCCTCAAATAGAGAAAGCACATTATGTAATGCACAGAAAACACGTCGGTCGGACTTCTTTGTGTGCTTAGGACCTGGTGGTTGGCAAAGGGGAAACTCCTTCTTGAAAAAGCTAATGTGCCAGAGAGACTACATGACCACATTTTTCAGATATCAGCAAGCGAATTTAGAGAAGACAAGAGAATGGCAAGTCGAGAGCTGAACCACATTTTTCGTGTCATCAACTTCTAACCTTCAGTATCATATCCAGAGCTGAATCATATGCGATATCATCTTCTACAGTTGCAGAAATAAGTTGAGTGAATGAGGCCGTTTCATCAAGCTGGATATGATGTTGCAGCAGTGCACTTTGATGCACGATTGGTGGTCCTGCTGGATTCCAATATACTGAATTAAAAGCATCCAGATTATGCATGTTTAGACAATTTAGGTCTTTGTTCATGTCAAACGATGTTAGAACTAACCAGACTCCGTTGTAACAGTTTCCATCTGAAAATCAGGGTTGGGTGGATTTTTCAATTGCTCACTTGTGCTTGAAGGTTTGCTTTCGGGACATGGATCTCCCCTGATGTTCACGTTGTCTTTGCCATCCACATGTTCTAGCTGTTCATCTTCCTCTGTTTTCTTCAGCTCAGGAATATTTCCAGATTCATTTGATGGATCATACTCATGTCTAACAGAAGGATCACTGTAAAGATTTTATAAGAAATTCGTTACTACCTTTACTGACTAAGCAAAATGCTAGCGAGATTTACAACTTACACTTCTGTTTTCTGGTCAACTGAACCATTTCCAGATATTCCCTTCTGAATATTGGGGTTAGATGAATTTTTCAACTGCTCGGTTGAAGGTTCATCTTCAAGACATGGAACTTCCATGATGTTTGCATTGTCTTTATCATCCACATGTACAAGTTGTTCCTCTTCTTCTGCTTTCATAAGCTCAGGAACGTCTCCACATCCATCTGATGTGTCATACTCATGCCTAACAGAACAATCGCTGCACAGTTTCGTAAGAGATTCTTGACTACCTAAATGGAAAAGCAAAAAAGGTAGGATGTTTACAACTTACACTTCTGTTTTCTGGTCAACTGAACCATTTCCAGAAATTTCCTCTTGAATATCGGGGTTAGATGAATTTTTCAACTGCTCACATGAGCTTGAAGGTTCATCTTCAGGATATGGATCTTCCCTTACGCTCACATCCACATTATCTTTGTCAATCACTAGTTCAAGTTGATGGTCTTCCTCAGTTTTCAACAGCCAAGGAACGTGTCCAGATTCATCTGATGGGTCACACTCATTCCTTACAGAAGGATCACTATACAGAAAGATTATAGATGTCTTTCAGTGAAGTTGACAAAATTATGGACTTGCAAGAGAATCTGGATATGTAAAAGAAAATGCGTCCACCTGGAAGTATATTTTAGGGAGATCTATGACTTACACTTGTGTTTTCTGGTCAACCGAACAGGGCTCAGCAGAAGCTTCCTGAAGTATCATCAAGACATTCTCTAACACAATTACAGAAACAGATAAAAAAACAAAAAGGGAACAAGTTGGAGCATTTTCCACATTGCAAACCTTGTTTTCCCCTTCCTTTCTTCGGGAAGTTTTCTTTGTCCTCCGACATTTTTTGTGCTCTTCTTTTTCGATGGCTAGTAAAAGAGCAGTTCTTGCGGCCTCTGACTTCTCTTTGGCATCCTCATCTATCTTTCTTTCTAACGTTTCCTGTAATAGAAGACAGTAAATATCATATACAGCACATTTATTGGGGATATAGTGATTCACGACAACAAGAATTCTTTGATAAGCCAAAACTTTTACACAGACCCGTAAAAACCATTTAATCAATGGTAGGATAACTGAACGGTGGTCAAACATGGATAGATTTGTGAGGCCATCCAGTAGCAGGTCCCTTAAATGGTCATGCAGCAAAATCTTCGAATCGGTCAAATGCAACTGCAAAATTCCAGTTTTATAAATCACGTCTAGAACTGAAGAGGAATATATCCACATTTAATCAAAACAAAATCTGAAAACAGCTTCTTTTGTTTACTTTTTTTTTTTAATGTAGACTCAGACAAGAGACGTACCTTTTCATTAGCCGATATCTTTAGAGCGGCCAAATTTTCAACTATAGAATTATCATCAACATTAGAGGGTCCCGATAAACAATCCCAATATCTTTCCATTTGTAAGTCATCGAATCTTGGGGATTTGGCTCCTTCAAGAACATCTCTTACAACAGACAGGAAACATATGGTATCGCTGGACCTTCCCTCATTATTCATTACACGCTTCTGACTTTTCTCTAGAAGAATGGATGCATAAGTCTTCCACTCTCCTTCTGGATCATTTTCTCTGTTTCCTTCCTCGCTGTCACATAATTCCTCCACCTTTACCAACGCTTCAGAATATGCTTGTATGCGCACTTTCCTTTCACATTTGGTTTTCAGTTTCCAACAACTGTATTCAATAATTCTAAAAACTGCCAACCATATACAAAGATTGCCTGTTATAGGTCTCTGATCCAAAAATTGACGATCAATCAATGGACAGTCGAATAGCCAGGATATGATCTCATCACCCTGAGGTGTTACCCCAGTGTAATGTTTAACAGAAGAACAAACCTCTACTATTCCATCCTCATCAAAGGAATCTATATTGCCTCTCAGCAGTCTCTTATCCAGAAGCAGACAAGAAAATTGGTTATCAGAGTAGATTCTTTCCTTTTCTAGATATTTTGAGCAGAAACCATCCACTGCTCTATAAATGAAATCCCAGTTGACATTTTCTCTCATGCTTACCAAGGAACATTTGATATGTTCAAGCTCACAAAGTTCTAAGAAGCAGAGGCACTGAACCGTATTAACCAAGTCAAAGTAAACTAGATAATTTTGTGGAATTCCATATACTACAAGTTTTTCATGAGTAGACTCTATCAACCAGCCCAAGAATCTATAAGAAAGGATCTTTTGGTCAAAAAGATATTTCAGGATCTTATGGAACTCCTTGAGGATGTCACTGCGAGCTTTATCCTCCCCAGCAAGAGGCCATTCTTTGGACCATCCTTTGTCGTAAGTAATCTGTTTCTCAAGTGGAAATCGATCTTTCATAACTCCTATTGCTGCCTTTATATCCACTGGTTCCCAATCCCCAAAATCTATCATCTCACCCCATCTTTCACTTGCGCGCTGAGGAATAAGATCCTTTGAAGGTCTATTTTCCATATGTTTAAGTTCAATATGCTTCTTGCATTCTGCAGAGCGATAGAATTCCTGCGAGCAAGCGCCACACTTCCAGAGTTTCCATTTTTTTCTTGTCTTAGCAAACTCTTCACCTCTCTCCAGCGCTTGTCTTCCCGGGCTGCCATATTTTTCCTCAACATAGTCTTCAAGGTCCTTGATTTTCACTATAAAAAACTTTCTTTTTCCTTTAACATCCATTCTAGCCCAAAAGGTCCTGAATCGCTCAGCTATAGAGGAATCACTCCTACATTCTGCGTGATGCCGTGCCTTTCTAGGTAACCTAGAACTCAGCTTATGCTTAGCGCCATTAGCTGCAATATACAAAACTTTCAATTTGCGGCGGCTCATCTTTACTTCTACAAGTTTGATCAAATTCTCAAGTTTTTCCTTCACCTTTTTTACGTGTTCTTGGGTTTTCGTTCTTCCCCGAGTATCTTCATGACATACAAGCATCTCTTTCGATTTCAGTAAGGCTAGTCCCTGTTTTGCTTTGAGCACAGCCTTCTCGTAATACGTGTCTGATGCAAGAACATCAGCCAAGTTGAGAAGCGAATCTGCATAGGCACGAAGGGTTGGCAAAGAGTCCGGAGATAGATGACTGGACTTTCGGTATGACCCTATAGAACCCAACAAGTACGTGCATCTCACGTCCTTGTTCTCTATGGCTTTAGCTAGTCGACGGAAGATGTAACCTTGTAAAAAATGTAGCCGCTCAGAGCAGTCATACTTCCCGTAAACCCAATTCATTGACTCGATTATCTCCAAGGCCTCAATGGGGTTTGGATTCTCAGAGAATAGTAAAGCTTTGGCACGCTTAAGAGCCTCATCGATTTCCTTTTCCATCGTTGATTGATCAATAGCGGGACTCAGAACGATGGTAGAAGAGGAACATTCTTTCTTATTCCGGATTCCATCCATTTTCCTGGGTTTCTTCGGAATTCGAACAGAGGTAGACAATTATCCTGTCGACTGGAGAAGAAAAAACCAATTCCCCTCTTCTGATAAAGTCGTAAAATTTTTCTCAGGAAAATGGTGGGTTTCTTGAGACCTTTCTGGGTGCGGAGAAAAATGGGGGGTTCAAGAAAAGAAGACGAGGGAGAAAATCAAAGAGCGCAAGACCTTGCTTCAAAAGGCGGTTGGGTTTAGTCACGTGACAAGGACGACTAGCGGGAAAGCTACAACTGTATACTTGAGCCGCAAGAAATCCCAAATCTCTCTCTTTGTTTCTGATCCCCAATCTCGCGGAAAAAAGTTGTTCCCTTTATAACGATCTCTTTGAAAATCAAGAAAAAGCATCATCATCGTCATCAGAACACACATAATCAGATCCAAGTTCAAGCCCCTTTCTTCAAAAGCTTCGAGAAGCGAACTGCAACATAGTAAGAGTTGCTTCAGGGGAATTTCGTCGAGCACCTTGTGTGCATTATTTGCAGAACCCATTTTTGCAAAAGGACAAAAGCAGAGGAGCTTCACTTTAGTTGTATAGCCTCGATGCAGAGAAAAAATTAAGGATCTACACTGATCACTGCACGTACAGATCGTAATGACATTAGAACATTGTGATTGTGCTCGACTTCCAGAGCGATTCGAGAATCTCCGAGTTTCTATTTATCAATTTTACCCTTCGCGGTTTTAATAATATTAAAACTTGGCCAAATCCGGTTCGGTTTAGACAAAATAGTACCAAAATAAAACCCAATTAGATTCGGTTTGGTTCCCGAATATTGTAATAAGGTTAGATCGAGATATTTCATAGAAATACATTTTGAGTATACGATCGGTTAAGACCGTATAATTTGCGCTGGTTTTGGTTTTCTATTCAAACTATAGTTCAGTGGCTAGGTCGATGATTCTGTACACTGAATAAAAATATCACTTTTCTACTTCCAAAAAAAAGATTTCAATTGTTTATTTTATCAAAAAAATAAGGGATAATTCCATTTAAAACTCTGTACTTTTCTTTAGTCGCAATTTAAACCCTATACTTTTTTTTTATCCAAAAAAACATTGTACTTTTAAAATTTTATTTTTATTTTTATTATTTTATTTTTATTTTTAATTAATTAATTAATATTATTAAATATTAGGGATTGATAATGTGGCAGATGACTAGGATTTTATTAAATAATATTGTTCAGGGTTTTATTTGCCAATTTTTAAAAGTACAATGTTTTTTTGGATAAAAAAAAAGTACAAGGTTTAAATTGAGATGAAAGAAAAGTATAGGGTTTTAAATGGAATTATCCAAAAAATAATAATAATTGAAATCATGTCTCTCTGTAACTGACCACAAAGAACTTGCACTAAATTAAATATGACCACTGTCATATCATGCCATCGTTATTTATCATTTTTTGTTATTACAGGCGATGGCATACAATCTTAACCGTAAACGTAATTATAATGCAGATTTATTTCGATCGAAATGTTATAACGTCAGAACTAGTCTTAGCTATACATTCTCAAGCACTTCCACATGCGAAGGTAAATAAACCAAACAGCGGGAAAAAAATATAAGAACTCCGTCTCGAAACTATAGCTTTCACCTTCTACACAAATTCTACAGCAGCGGGGTATGTATAAAACTTCTCTCTGAGCAAACAACAAACCCTTTTGGCAGAAGAAAGATCTTCAAAACCCGGAAAAAGTATGGTCCAGCCAGAGAAATGTATGGTTACCGTCGTTGTGATTTTGCAAACAAGAATCATTCAGATTCATTGGCAAGTGCAAACTTTGCTGTTCTAATCCCGTCACTTCTCTTCGAACTCAACGTCGATGATTTGGGACTTGGGAGGCGGCTTTTTGGATTTGCCCTTGTTGTTTCCACCGCCTCTCGAGAAGAAGTCTCCTTGGGGTTGCCACACTATGTTTCCGCAGCCTTCACATCTGATTATTTGGCTCTTGTACCCTATGAACTGCTTCTGGCATGCCGGGCACTCACCCTATATCCAACACACCAATCAAATTCAAAGATAGAACGGTTAAGAACACCATTATATGTTTAATATTCCGAGTTCCAAGAAGTTTCAGCACACATCTTCTACGCTAATTGAGGTTTCATGTAGTGAAGTTGAACACTAAGGATGAAAGTATAAAAAAAGCTAAAAGGTAAAAGCAAGAATCAAAATAGGGAGTGAGACCATGTAGCCAAAAGTCTGACAATAAGAAAGGTGAAGTTAGATATGTACCTTGATGACAAAGTTGTTGGCCACAGCCCCAATAAGAAGAGGGCCAGCAAATGGAAGAACCCAAGTGGCGAATATCAGCACACGGAACAGCCATCCAGACAGCGCAAACCAGATGAAGAATATTGTCTGGCAATGAAATTAAAGGACAATGTAAGACATTTATTTGCGGTAGTATAATTGTAATGATTATTACAAACCAATCATAAACCATAATAATTCACTTAAGAAACAGTGAGAAGCCACATTTCAGTGCCCTCCATTTGGAAGCAATGCTAATGAATTAAAACATGGAACGAGACTAAACTCTATATAGTTTTTTGTTGCTAGTTTCAGTTTTTTGGCCATGGCCTATGTAAATTGCAGCGGCTAATATCACCTCATGTTGGGGATATACTTAAACATAAGATCGATGAAGACTTCATATCTCAAAGTATCAGCCACAACCTATTCTCTGGCATTAACAACTGTATTTAATCAGATTTAACAATAAATTTTCCTATACTCAAGCTTTTGGTGCCTTCTGACATGTCTTTCCTAGTGAGCATGAACTTAGACACTTGGGCTTTTCAGGAATAGAACATTCCACTAATACTGAGGCAGTTCAACATGGCGTCTACAAGAAACTGTCAAGACTCAAGACACTTAAATTTTGTTCGATAACTAGCATAGAAACGTAACAAATGTAAATATCTCAAGAACCATGAAAACACAGAAGGCAGATGGATCATGAAATTCTTGGCCACAGGAACATGTTCAACAAGATGAACGCTACAACGATTTTGTCGCAACATTATCAGTTTCATCTCAAACATATAAGAGAATATAACGGAAGGGAAGAGAAATATGTAATACTTACAGCAAAACTTCCACCAAGCGGTGTATTCAAGAAGTCACTGAACTGTTTCCTGTACTGCAAGGGCACAAAAAAAAAACCAGGGAAAGAAAACTTAGAACAGCTTTTGGATCACCAACAAATTCAAATACGAGCAACATTAATCAAAAGCATATTCACCCATTGTCTAGCTCAATCATACAACCAAACAGCACGGTAAGTAGGAACACGTGATATCAGTGCCTAACTCATGCTCTTCACTAGACTCAGATTTCTAGAAAACCAAGACTATTTTCCATTAATTCAAAAAAAAAAAATTAATTGCCCACAACATAGACAACAATACCCAATCAGACCCTGGCCCTGCATGTGTTTGTTTTCATATCAGAAACAGTGTTTTGATTCTCAGAGGAGAAAATAAGAAATAGACATTTCAGTGCTCATAAGAAAATCAGGAATCAAGAATCCCTGTCTGGTGAAAAAAAAACGCGCAAGAAGCATGAACTACGGAACTAGTGAATCCACTACTTTTCCCATGTTTGAGATTAATGCTTATCAAATATTACCTTTCTATGAATCATTGCCCAACTTCAAGTTTTTTTTTTCTTAGAAGAAGCTCTTCTTGCATTTTCATGAAAACTATTATTCCTCGAGGAAACAGCCACAATGAAAAGAATTAACAGTAAAATCTAGCAGAAGCAACTAAGAATCACTATTGACAGAATCTAGTTTGCTATTGCATGGATTAGCTATTACCATCCCAAATCCAGATTCTTAACTATGCAAAAACCAAGAAAAGATCAAAGTTCAAAGGATCAGAGTCGCAGATTACATCCATCTCTATACCCAAAACTCACAAAACTAAACAAGATAATCAGAATAAAAACATGTGGAGGACGAAAATGAACCTTGGGCCAATTCC